TTTCCTGAGCCCTTTGTTAGCTTTTTGAGATGGGTTCTCATTGTGTATTGTAGGCTGGCTTCAAGTCCTTTTTTTTTTTTCCTTTTGAGACAGGGTCTCACTGTGTAACCCTGGTTGTCCTGGGACTCACAGAGATCTGCTCACCTCTGCCTCCTATACTGGGATTAAAGGCAAGCTCTACCTCACCTGGCTTTGGTTTTAAATTCTTGATTCTTCTGCCTCAGTTTTGCCAGTAGCAGGATTATAGGTATGTGCCAACATACCCATGTCTAACTGAATGTTATATTCCTTAGTTAGACATTGGAGATCAAGATATGTAGTGTCTGTTCCTTGAGGAGCTATGCAGCAGCTAGGCTGTTAGTGTAGGCAATCAAGTTTGTGAGCTTGGCAGTTAAGCTCAGTCTAGATATGATTTTGCTTTGTTTATGTTCAAGACCTCAGCAGCCCCATGTAATGGTGTGCTCAGGGAAGAAGTTGTTTCTAAAGAATGTTCTCAGTGTTTCTATGTCATTCCCAGCCTTCAGTCTTCCTGTATTTCTGGGCCTCAGAGGGTCTTTCTGCATGCTCTGACCTTTACTGCTAGATTCCTGTGCCTTCCCACTTGGCCTTGCTAGTTGAGAGGTGGCAAGGATAACCTTCTTTCTTTTCCTTATCCAGCCTTGGTCTCAGGCAACCCCTGTGGCGGGGCTCTTAGAGGTGGGGTTGATCAGTGATACTATCCCACCCTCAGGCCTACGTGTCTTCCTTCCTTCCTTCCTTCCTTCCTTCCTTCCTTCCTTCCTTCCTTCCTTCCTTCTTTCTTTCTTTCTTTCTTTCTTTCTTTCTTTCTTCCATTTTTTTTCCTCCTTTGACTCTTCTTCCAGCCCATATGAGAGAGACAAGATTGATTTACTCACTTTCAGTTACAGATTTATCTTTGTTCCTTCCAAGAGAGGGCCCCAGTTGAGCTTCATGTTCTTTGACCACATGAGGCCAGACTCCATCAGGGCATGTCTGCTGTAGGCTTTCAAGCAAGAGCCTGTGAGTGAGAGTACCAGCTCCACGTGGGTGTGTGGGCCCCACACTAGCTTTGGGAAGTTACTTAAGATGTAGCTGATTTTTGTTTGTTTGTTTGTTTGTTTGTTTTGAGACAGAGTCTCACTATGTAGCCTTGGATAGCCTGGAACTCACTAGAACAGACTAGCCTCCAACATGTAGACATCAACCTGCCTCTACCTCCTGAGTGCTGGGATTAAAGGCGTGCAACACCATATGTAAGGAGAACTCCTACAGAGCTGCAGCTGGCTGGATTTTGAAGTGTTGGGCCTAGCTTTAATCTGCCCTTTGTCCTTCTGTTTGAAATATGTAAATCTTGTCTGAGTGTTTACCAAAGGTGCAAAGCCTATGCAAAACTTGGTTGGGAAAAATCCAGCAAACAAACCTTAATTGGGAATTTGCCTTTGGCATTGTCCCTTTGAGAGACTCAGATGAGGTGTTTTGGGATGTGGTAATGAACTTGTTAAAGGTGTCAATTTGATAACAATAAGAAAAGCCCTGTACTAAGGGAGAGTGTCTCAGTCCACACACTGAGAGGCTGAGTCTCCCTGTAGCTAGAAACGTTAGATTCATCCTTAAAGTGCCCTGTGTCTTCTTCCTCAAATCCACGTGAACCCACACCCATTCTACAACAACCATGACTGGCTTATGAATTCCTGTCTGTTTGTATTACACCCACTGGCTCCCCCGTCCCAGTCCAGCAAGTGTTCATGTCCAACTACCTGTTTGATGAGTTTCTCTTACTTATTCCTTATACTTTGCTGCACTGTTACCTCAGAACAAGCCAGGGCTGTTCCTCCAGTATGGCTTAGCAGGGAAAAGTGCTTGCCTCACAAGTCTAGGACCTGGGTTGGATCCCTGAAACTCATGTAAAAAGCTCATGCAGTAGAGCATGTTTTTTATTGTTTTGTTATTTGTTTGTTTGTTAAGATGGGGTCTCATTATGTATCTCAGACTGGCCCTGAATGAAACAGAAATCCGCTTGTTTTTATGCTAGAATTACAGGCTCACCACCACATCCAAATAGTACATGGCTGTAATGCCAGCACTCTTACAGCAAATCCTCTGGAAGCTGGTAGGCCAGCCAGCCTGGAACATCCAGCGTAGAAACAAGGTGGGAGAAGAAAACCCACCTCCATGGCCATGCTGTAGCATGCCTGTGCCTACCCGCACACAGGCATGTACATACACACACACACACACACACACACACACACACACACACACACACATTTTAAAAATAAAATGGGGTGGGGAGATGGCTTCACGATTAAGAGCACTTGCTATTCTTGCAGAAAACCCACGTTTGGTTTCAAGCATTCACATGATTGCTCACAAATGGCTATAATTCCAAATCCTGGAGATCTGATGCCTTCTTTTGGCCTTAGCTGCCACTAGTCATGCATATAGTAAAAATATATACCTGCAGGCAAAATACTCATACACAAAAAATAAGTATTAAGAAAAAAATTTTAACCCCCAAATCCAAAATACAGCAAAACCCCTCGAGTACTCACTGGGTGTCAGGCTGTGGCTTGGTAGAATCTGTCTTAAATTAAAGCGATTCCACCTAGCATGTTATTTAACTTTCTAGCGCTTGCTACCTAAGCTTTGCTAGTGGGAAGCTTTGCTGTAATTGGCATCTTAAACAAGTATCTCTAGTGTGGAAAGAAAAGTTGAAGTGCAGCTAGACTCCTACCATTAGACAAGACTGGAACTTTTGTTTTCTGTCTTACTGCCCCTTTGCCTGTCTATTAACATCTCATTAGGCAAGTTTATGTTCATACTGTGGACCTCTCATTTCTTAAAAAAAAAAAGCCCCATTTACTTAAGTTTACTATAGCTAATTTCTGTCATTTACCCAAGGGTCGGTAACTAGTAAAGAGAAGAAGCAGAGCTTTGTTTTGGGGGTTTATAGCTTAGAATAGGAGGACTGAAAATGGAGTTCAATGGCAGAGCACTTACAGAGCATATATGAGGCTCCACCTAGGTTCAGTCTTCAGCACCACAAAACAAAAGAATAAAAGGAAACACTGCTAGAGTCTGCCTTTATTTGTAGGGAATTCATTATAAAATCCTCAGAGGATTCTTAAAACTGGATGATCTCAAGCCCTGGATAGCCCATATACTCTGCAGTGTTACCTGCCACAGAGTACCGTAATTAACCTGTTTGCCCATTTCTGTGCCCCAGTGCCTTTGTATCACTACTCTTGTTCTTTGGGTCTGTTATTGAATAAAAATAAAAAAAATGGTTACAGCCGGGCATTGGTGGCGCACGGCTTTAATCCTAGCATTCAGGAGGCAGAGGCAGGCATATCTCTGTGAGTTCAAGGATAGCTTAGTCTACATAGTGGGTTCCAGAAAAGATAGAGTTATATAGTGAGACCCAGTCTCAAAAACAAACAAACAAAAAACAAAGAATGTGGTCACTTGAACATAAGCCTGCAATAGTTCAACATCCATTTATATTCTCAAAACTAAAGTGTTTAAGTGACTAATGCATGGGTAGCATATACAGTGGATATATAGGACAAAGAATAATTCATATACAAGGTAGACAGAGCAGGATAGTATAAGATTTTATCAGCGTTTGAAACTCACAAATTATTTCTGGAATTTTGTGTTGGGACCAGTGGACCTGTTGAACATGCCTGAAAAGGGGAAAAAGACGAAAGACAGAAGATAGAGTCAGGAGGGCTCTCAATGAGTACTGTAGCAGCCCCAAATTTTTTCTTATAGTCCTTTTATACCCAAAGCAAAAGGGGAGGGCAAAAAACTTCCTAACTGTGATACAAGAAACAATCAAATGTAATTATCCCATTAATTCTCAAACCATCTAGTAAGCACACCTTTAGTCAAATTATTCTGTTATTTGGCCTTGAGGAAGAAGAATAAGTTTGAACTCTCTGACCTTACATCAAGATGGAATGGATTCATAGCTGTTGACTCTCACAGTTTTGCACTTTATATTGTCAAACTATAGAGGAATACTGTGATACTGTGGATGTTGAAACCAAAAGTAAGGGGGAAACTACTCTGTACCCAGAAGACAACTGAGATCAAATGCAAAGGAAAGCAGAATTACCAAAATTGCAGAAAGGATCATCAGATTTGTTCCTTAAGTATCAGATAGTAAATATTTTAGTCATGAGGCTATATAAGCTCTGTTGTCATTCCTTAGCTCTGCCATTGTAATGCAAAGTAGTCTGGACCTTACGCAAACTGCTGTACTAACAAAACTATTCACACGTATAGACCAACACAGAGTATTTGGTATATACTAGTATTTGGTATAACCTAGAGTATTTGGAGGAAGAATGGTGATGACCCATGGTCCATTTATCCATCTGTGGTTCTTGGCTATTGCTGGAGTTTCAACTTGCTCTTTGTTGTTATTTGCTTTTAGATTTTAAAAAGGAATATACTTTTCTTTAAAAATTAATTTTGTGGTGTGTGTGTAAGCGGTCAGAGGATAGCTTGTGGAAGTTGTTTCTTTCCTTCTACCATGTGGGATCTAGGGATTGAACTCAGGTTATTATGCTTGGTGGCAAGTGTCTACTTATTGAGCCTTTGAGCTGGCCCTTAAAATTTACTTTTTATTTTTATTGATGTGTGGGTGCCTATGGGTGGCCAGAAGATCTCTTGGAATTCGAGTCACAGGTAATGGTGAGCAGCCTGATGTGGGTGTTTGGGAAGTGATCTCTGGTCCACTTGAAGAGCAGCAAGCACTCGCCCAGATGAGCCATCTCTTGGCCACTGTTTTTGTTTTTGGAGATAGGGTTTTACTCTAGCCCAGGCTAGCCTGGAGCTCACTCTGACCCAGGCTGGTCTTGAACTTGCAGTAATCATCCTGCTTTAGCCTGGTAAGTGCTGGGACTCGACAGACATGAGCACTGTATGCAGCTTCATAGCTCCAAGTCTTTCACATGAGCAGTGACGTGGTACAATTCTTTCTTCTGTTGCAGAAGCAAAGCCAGCCCCAGAAATATTTGAAAATGAAGTCATGGAACTGCTGAGAGAGTTCACGAAAAACAAAAACAAAGAGCAGAGACTCCGTGCCCCAGATCTGGAATATCTCTGTGAAAAGCCTCGTTAAAGTGTGTGCCACTGCCTGTCATGGTGATTAGTATATGAACAGAAACTGCTTCTGGTACTGATTTTGGCTTCCTGCTTTCCCTTAGGCACTTGAACCTCTACCATGACAGACGTGTACTCTGCAAGATGACTCACTCATTCTAACCTGCACTTGTCTGTACAGCACAGATCTGCCACAAGAGGGCACTGCAGTTCCACTGCCTCAGCCCTGACAGTACCAAAGACCCAGCTGCTGTAGGAAGAGCTGCCCTCCCAATCCTACACCCAGTGGCCCTAGGCTTTGTTAAGATAAAGTTGCCCTCTTCCAACTTGGTATAGTTCTTTCTGCCAAAGAGAGCCGATCCAAGCCCCTGAGCTGAGGCCATCAAAGGCACAGCAAGCTGAGTGAGGGCACCAAGCAGGCATGGTGTGGGCACACTGCTTAAGTCAACATCCCCATCACCATCAGATTTTCTTCACAACATGCCCTTTGTAAACCTAACAATGGAACACTGAAGGGTGTCAAGGGAAGGAGATTGACAGTTCTCCAACCCTTACAATTATCTTCATTTTGTCTGTTCCTGTGCAACCCATAGTCGTATATTTGGAGTTTTACAAACTTTTTTGGGGGGTATTTCAAGACAAGGTTTCTCTGTATTGTTTTGGAGCCTGTCCTGGAACTAGTTCTGTAGATCAGGCTGGCCTCAAACTCACAGAGATTAAAGGCGTGTACCACCACCGCCCTGCTGTTTTACAAACTTACAATCATGGGTTTTCTGACTTGTGGCACTGTGGCAAACTTTCCTCCTCATTCTTACAGCTTTTAAAATCATTTTAGTTGACCAAATAATAATGACACATAAGAAATAAATAACATGTTAACTGGGTGTCATGGGTCACGCCTGTAATCCCAGCCCTTGGGGTCTGAGGTAATAGTAACACTAAGAATTTGAAGCCAGCCTGGGCTAAGTGAGTTTGAGGCCAGCCTGGACCACTCCGTTTAGAATGAAGTAGCTGGGGGGCTGTGCATTGCTGAAGGTATTCTCTCTGTAAGAGCTCTGCTCTCAGCTGAGGAGAGGCAGTCACTCTGGCTGATGTGTGAAGTGATGTCCAGAGGAAAGCAAGGCCAGAACTGATAAACATGAGGTTGGTAACTACAAGAGCTGTAGACAAAGAGGAAAAAAAGTTTCCTGGCCAGGGGAGGACGCGTTACCTCACAGCACTCCCACAGACAGGGGGCATTAGGCCTGTTTGTAGACAACAGAGTTGCCTTGGAAGGAGTCAGTAATACATCCATGATCAAAAAGCCAGGATTTGGAGCTGGACAGAAGACTCAGTGGCTAAGAGCACTGGCTGCTCCTCCCGGGAACTCAGGCTTAGTTCTCAGCACATACATGGTGGCTCACAACTGAAACTCCAGTTCCAAAGGAGCTGATGCCCTCTCCTGGTCTCTGTGGGCACCGTATGCACATACTGCATAGACATACATACAGGCAAACACGTAGAATATAAAGTAAATATGGGCTGGAGAAATGGCTCAACAGTTGAGCACTGGCCGCTCTTCCAGAGGACCTGGGTTCAGTTCCCAGCATCCACAAGGCAGCTCATAACTGTCTGTAACTCCAAACCCAGGGGATCTGACACCTCACATGCATGCAGGCAAAGTCAATATGCACATAAAAAGAAATAAATCATAAAAAAGAAAAAACTGCAATTTATTATTGTTTGACCTAGCTTTCTGCTAGACAACAGGGCTTCACTACTAACATTTAGTAACAACCCTCACTTTTGGACATTGCACTGGAAACAAGAAGGCAGGTAAAGAAATGACAGTTCTTAGACACGAACTCTGTGTTGCTCTGTGGTGAGTAGGAGGCCACCAGCTACTTCCCAAATGGGGAAATGCCCTCACCTTGGTCACCCAGAATAGCTCTGGTAAGGAAGGAAGCAGTACAGCACCATGGCCGTGAGTTCAAGCCTTCCCCTCATTGCTTAGCTGCCGAATAAACCTGCTGGCCTAAGCTTTGGTTTCTAACTAAAGGTGTATTGTAACACTGGGATGGTTCCCAGCACACAGGGCGTAGGAAGACAGGAACCTTTGCTTGTAGCCTCATCCTGAGACTTAGAGCCTGTCTCCTAACAGATTCCCTATCATCAATTGCATGCATACATGCAGGGCAGTTTCATCTGAAAGTCAGAAGGCTGAGCCTACTAAAGGAACCACATAGTGCCTTACCAGACAGTGGAAATGGAAAGGAAAAAAATGTACCTTGGTGACAAATCCTTTGATGGAAAAGTATAGTTCTCACTTAAGCAAGAAATGGGAATGAGACCTACAGAGTAGAAGCAGGAGGTTACAGAAATGCTGACCTTTTGCTTGCGCTTCTGTTGTCCTTTGGGTGTGTGTGGTGGGGTGGGGGGAGTCTAAACGGGCAGGATTTATATATAGAAACATCTGGACTGTAAGACGTGCACAGGAATTGCTAGCACCTCCCCTGTTTATCCTGAGCCCATTATACAACAAGCCCCAGAAGCCAAGTATGCTGTGTGGGCTCTCCCCACCTCAGCTCTGATCCCTTCTTACCCTCATTTTGTCTTATTTCCCATCGTGTTCGGTTGCTGTCACTTGTACCTGAGAATGGCATGCTTCTAAAGGAATTGTTTTCCTTCCAGGCTGCTGGTTTGTATAATCTTTGAAAGTGAAGGATCTTGCTAACTTCAACTGCTCAGTGTCAAGCCCAAGGGTGCAGTGTAAACAGTTTTCCTCTTTATTAGGCATTAAGGAAAACTAGGCCGGCTACAGTACATTTTCAGAAAAATTAATAAACTTACCACAGGGCCAGCAGCTCCCTAGGACCCACAAGAAGCACCAGCTAGACGCATTGTTCTCAGCTTGACATGTTGCTGCTCACTGACCTCATTCCGAGCCTGTGTCAACACGTGAGCATCTGATCTGCCCTGGGAGGTCTTCAGTGGATCTGAATCCCCTTGCACAGGCTCCTCCTGATGCATCAACCGGGTCAAGGCTGCTTCCCTCCCATCACCTCCTCACCTCATTGTTTTAAGTTGTATCCAGGCTTTACCTGACAGGTGAGTGGCTCTTGTGGCTGCCATTGGAGAGGCGCCTCTTACTGGCTTGGAGCACCAGTTGGAGGTCATCCAGCCCTTTTCTTCAGTCCAGCCAAGGCGGCAGTGGCACAACCTGGCTTATATTTTTAAGCATCACTGGGGAAGCAGACTCCTCTGAGATAATTGAGAGCTTCACATTTATCCTTCAGTCTGTCTGCTATGTTGAGACTAGACAGGGGGAGGAGAGCTTTGTAATAAGTAAGCCCAAAGCCAGGTATGGTGGCACTCACCTATAAGCCCAACGTGCAGGCAACTGAGATAGATTAGTATTAAAATTAATTTCAAGCTAAAAGCCTCTGAATTTTGTTTGCATATAAGGTTGTTGTCTTCCACTAAGGGTTAGCCTGGGCTACATAGTTAATACCAGCCCAACCAGGGTTATGGAATAAAACTATCTGAAAAAATGAGGTAAAAAGAAACTGAAGAAGACCCTGGATGTCAACCTTTGGCCTTTACATACATGTAAAGGCACACACATTCACATAAACATGTGTGCATGTACATCAGCACCACTGAGCACAACCATTCATGCACAAAGGTAAGTCAAACAGCCTTATATGGTAAGAAGGTCAGTGAGACTGGGGAGCTGAAAGTCCCTGTTAGTACAGCCCATCGTTTGTATGATGCTGAACTTCTTGCCTTGCAACTAGCCACTTGAGACTATTCAAATGCCAACCAGGGCACCCGGTGACACTTAGTTTCTCAGTGAGCTCTCTGGGGTTGAGCTGTGTAAGCATCTTCCCCCGTCTAGTAAAGCAGCATGGGTGGGTGGGTAACTTCAGATAGGGACACCGTGGTTTTGAGAAACAAACATCTAACCATACCTGGTGATTCATATGGCCCAGCCTGGGTGACAGTGGGGTCCTGCTTCCAAAGATGAACTTTTAAAAGCAGTCAACTGGGAGAAATGTAGACATCTAAGCTATGCAGGACAGCATCAGTCTTGAAAAGTGGACATGTATAAAGAATTCTGACCCACAATGATGAGAGGTGTTAAAGCCGGAGCCCAGGTTGAACCTGAATCTAGAGATTCTTGGCCAACGTGAGAGTGTTGTCTGAAAACTTGAAATTGACACATCATCTTATGTAACTAGGCAGCACTGCATGTGATTGATTGTTTTTGTTGCTGTTAATGTTAGGCGTGGTCTCATGTAGCGCAGGCTAGCTGGCCTTGAGCTTATGACCTTAATGGTCCTCCTGCCTTTACCACATGCTGAGACTACAAGTGTACTGTGAGGCCAGTGATCTGGCTCAGCTGGTAAAGGTACTTACTTTTCCACCAAGCCTTAGAGCCTGAGGTCAGTCAAAGAACTGACTCCTCCAAGTGTCCTCTAACCTCCACACACGTGCTGTAGCATCTCACACACAAAATACAGGTGTGTGCTACCATACCCAGCTTGCTAATATTTAATAGTGATAATCGCCTATGGGGGCTGGAGAGATGGCTTAATGGTTAACAGTGACTACTGCTCTTGCAGACGACTTGAGTTTGGTTCCTAGTCTAGCATTCATGTTGGGGGAATCACAACTTCCTGTAACTAAGCTCCAGAGGGATCCAGCCTCTTTGACTTCCATGTACACCCACATTCACATGCACATACCCCACATGGACTCAGAATTAAATACAATAAAAATGTGAATCAAGAGAGACATCTCAGTGGTTAAGAACAATTGCTGTTCTTGCAGAGGTCCTAAGTTTATTTCCCAGTACTCATCAGGCAGCTCATAATCACCTGTAGCTCTAGCCCCAGGGCATCTGACTTCCTCTTCTGATGTCAGAGAGCATCTGCACAAGTGCGCCTGCACACACACACACACACACACAAATGTTAAAAAAAATAAAGTGCCTATTTTACCCTACAACGCAAAGAACAAAGCTGTTAAGAGTAGGTATTTGAGAGTGGGGGTTCAGGGTATGGCCCAGTGGTTAAGCACTTACCTAGTATGCATGAGATCTTGAGTTCAATCCCTAGCCCTACAACAAATCTGTAAAACCAAAGCAGCAGCAGGGCTGGAGAGATAGGTCAGCAGTTAAGAGCACTGATTGCTCTTCCAGAGGACCCAGACTCAATTCCCAGTATCCACATAGCAGCTCACAACTACCTGTAACTCCAGTTCCGGGGACCCAACACCCTCACACAGGCATACATGCAGGCAAAAACACCAATGCACATTAAAAAAAAAAAACAACTAAAACTGCTGTTTGGAACTCATGTTCAGAACCCTAGAGCTGTCACTGATCAGCCTGGTGACCCTGGCCATGGCTCTTCTCCAGCTTCTGCTTCTCTTCTGTGGATGTATCTGAACCTAACCTAGTGCAGGGACAAGGACTAAAGGAAGGAATGCATTGAAAGTGCTCAGTGTGGTACCTGGAGCCCTAGTGACGCAATAGTAGCTATAGTAAATGGTTTGCTCTGGCCATGTGCCCAGATTGCTAAGGGCTTTATTGTTTTATCATTTAATCCTTGTTTGTCATTCCTCCCCCCATTCTTTGAAGGAAGTAAGGCTTGGTAAAATGGGTTGTTTGCTCAGAGTCACAGGTAGAAAGCAATAGGACTAGGGTCTAAAAGGAGGCAGTGGTTCCCAGGGCTACCATGTGCCAGACTGCGTCATGGCATGAACCCCTTTGAAGATCTTGCCACGGTCTATGGAAGGGCACTGATCCTGATGACTAGGCTGTAGCTACCCTCTCTCTAGTGGCTCCCTGAAGAACTGTTAGTCACTTGTAAGATAATAACTTAAAAGGAGGAAAGATTTG